CGGGCCCTCTGAGCGCCACCAGTAGGCAACGAGTGAAGTGTCTCGCCCAAGGACACAACGACCGAGATTGTCCAAGCCGGGGCTCGAACCGGCAACCTTCCGATTACAAGGCAAACTGCCAACTCTTGAGAAATAACCTTTCAATTAATATCTAACATGTAAGTTTTTGTAATGATGCATGTTTAAGTATCCATGGCATTTACACTATAGTTATAACTTCCCAGTCAGTTTGATATGCCTGTTATGCGCACCGGTTTCCTTCTGCAGGCTGTGAAGAATAGCAAAGAAACATTTGCCAGCATCAACTTATCTATGGCCCAGTTGCATATCTGGTAATACTTGAACACAGAGGCCTTCTTTGTAGTGATGTAAACAATTTGTCGCCAGCATGAGCACATAGACCCCCCCAGTGGTCACAGGTCACATATATCTCACATACTCTCTGAAACTGTACTAACATTGTGCATTAACCTCTCCCTAAACACTGATACCAAATCCACATGTGGACACTGTTTCTAAATTGAAATTTATACATGAATGTAGGCATATGTGTAACTCGTGTGTCTGTAGCGTGTCTAGTTTTGGGGCTGCATGTAGGCATGTAGCTTGGTGTGCGTTACATGTGCATGCGAGTCGGGGTGCAGGTCTCTGTATCTGTTCTTCTCTGTCCGTATATGTGCTTCTACCTAAATGACTGTGTGTGATAATGTATCTGTTATTTGATGTGTATTTTTATAGATGTGTGTGGAAGAAAAATATCCCTGTTGTGGAATGATCTGCCCTTGCATGTTAGGCAGGCTTCTTGTCTTTCTGAGTTTACAACTCTTCTCCTCTCTTTGTTTATTCATGCTATTTGTATATGTACAAAACTTTGTGAACCCTGGCTTTATATTAAAGTGCTTTATAGATAAATTAATTAATTTCCTGTTCTGATTCTCTTCAGTTAATTGTCTGGAAATAAGTGATTTACTTTTCTTCCCAGTGTCCGAGCTGAGGGTGGTTCTGCTGGGGAACAAATGGTCAGAGATGAGAGCAGTGGGGAACATGATACTGAGACAGAAGAAGTTCTGTACTGAAAAAGCACCAGACTGCTGTGTGGAATTCAGTACAACCTTCAAGGAAAAACGAATTGTTGTCATTAACACCCCAGACCTGTTGCTTCCCAATATTTCTGATGCCAAACTGAAGAAGCATGTAGAAACCTGTGTGAGGCTCTCTGCTCCTGGACCTCACGTGTTCCTGTTGTTTCTACAGCCTGAAGACTTCACTGAGGAGCAAAAACAAAGGCTCTGCAAAGTCCTTGAAGAATTCAGTGATCAATCATTTGATCATTCATTGGTTCTGAAATCAACGCCCAGAGAGAAGAGCTCAGCTTTCATGAAAGAAGATCAACCCTTAAAGGACTTTATCAGAAAATGCAAATACAGACATTTGAAGCTGAAGAACCTTGAACGTGCAGAGCTGCTAACACGCTTGGTTCAAATTGCAAAAGAGAACAATGGACACCTGGTCTGTGATGTATTTGAGCATTCAGCAACAGTTCTGACTTCTGAGCAGGAAAACCTCAAACAAGAAAAAACATCAACCTTTCCATTTGGTCCAACAAAGGAAATTGGTAAGTTATTGTTTATGTCATGATCTCTGGGTCTAGGACCCAGTATTTTAAGTTTTGTCTCTTGTCAGTATTTCCTGGGGTTTCTGTTTATTTATGTTTCCCAGGTTTGGTTTTCCTGGTTTCAGTTTATATTATATTTCCTTGTATTTTTGGCTCCCTTATCTTCCAATGTCTACCCTAGTCTTGTCTCTATGTTTATTTACTTCTATATATCAAGACTGGATTTTTGTTACTGTGTTAAGTTCATATATAAGTGATTCTGCCATCTGTTTACTTACATTCTGTCTTACCTTGGTGGTGCTTTTTCCTCTGTGCTTTTGTTAACTCCTTTTGTCTTATCTTTGCTGATTTATTCTCTTCTATGTTTCCTGGCTTCCCAGTATTTTTTTGTATTTTTTCAAACCACAAATTTAGGAAACTCTGCACACTTGATTTGATGACAGTTGCATAGGAGATAAAAAAAAAATCTTAGTTAAAGACGTATATTATAACCTCACCAACATGCCTTGCTTACCATTATTTGTATTACACAGTTTTGGCCCATGCAACCTTCATCAGTTGCAGAGAAACAGGAAATTGTAAAATGACTATATATATATATATATATCCATCCATCCATCCATCCATCTTCATCCGCTT